GCGACCTGCGCGCAGCAGCCCCGCGCGGGACGCCCGGGCCCGGCAGAGCAGCGCTGACCTCGCCTCCCGCCTTCCCGGCCGCCCGGATTCCCTGAGCTCCCAGGAGTAAACCTGAATGAACCCACACACGGAAAACCTCCCTGCCCCTCCCGGTGGCAACCTGGAAACACCCCAGCCCCACACGGAAGTGTTTGACGTTCCCCCCACGAGGGCCCGCTCCCCTCGAGCCCTGGACCACTTCTACCCTCCGCAGCCTCCCGCGCCCATCCCGGGCCAGAGCAGCCTCTGGTCCACCCCGGGCCAGGGCCCTTCCCAAGGACCAGCTCTAACCCCTGGGGAGCCCTGGCCCTCCCCACCCACCACCTGCTTCAGGGGAAATCTCTGCCTCCCAGGATTCCACTGACCTCGCAGAGCCCAGTGTCCAGCGCTGTCTGTGGGTCAGGTCCCGCTTTCTCCGCAGACACTCCCTGCCCGAAGCTCGGCCCCAGGATGCCCAGGCCTCCCACCCTCCTCTGTCCAGGCTCTTCCCAAGGCCACTGGCCTGGCCTGAGTGCAGGAGCTGAGGGTCCCCTGGGGACTGGAGCAGGATGGGAGGGGTGGGGAAAGCGGGGAGCAGGAAGGGGAGGTTGGAAGCCCACTTATCTGCAGGAAGCACCTTGGGAAGCATGAGGGTTGGATTTCCTGGCCCAGCCCAGGAGAGAGGAAACTACTGCTTCCGGTGCTCTGTGTCTCCACCATCTTCCTGCCCCTTCCCGCTTCCTCCCTCCCCAAGTCACCCAGGCCCCCAACTCCATGCCCACCCCAGAGCCGCCCAGCCACCCCCCCATCCATCCCACCATTACCTCCACCTGCCTTTGCTCCCAGCTCCCAGGCTTTCCTCCCACTGTGGCCTCCGCAAGGCCACGGACATGCTCACCAGAGTCCCCGACTGATGGGGCTGCAGGGAGGAGGCCAGGAGGAGGCTGCACCTCTCCCGGACTCAGACTCAGAGCAGCTGTAGGCCTCTGCCATCTCCCTGCAAACCTGCCCTAGGCCTGATGGCCACGTGCCCACCTGCCCACCCAGCCTGGACCTGATGGGGGCCCCTTCAACCTCCCTACTTGAGTCCTGTGCATGGATGCCCACCCCCTGGGGAGAGAACCTCCATCAGACTCATGATCTCCAGGCTTACAGCCCAGCTCAGTCCAGGGTGATACCAGAACCCTCAATCAGCACTGGTTCCACAAAGTGCCTGGCACACAGGATGGCACATAACGTATGAAATCCCAGCCCCCACTCCCCCAGCTCCTCCACCACCCAGCAGCAGCAAAAATAACACACCCAGAAGCACTGTGCCCACATCAGGGCCTCTGTCCCTGCAGTGTGGTGGGTTTACAGAGGAGGAAGCCAAGGCATGGGGTGTCTTTGCTCCTTATTTTATTGCGACTAGAAGACCCCCAGGCTCCTCGCCACCTGCCCTATGTCACGTGCCAGCCTCCCCCAGTAGGTCCACCTTTACCTGCCCCTGCCCACCTTCCTGGCTCAGCCCTTCCCCTCGGCTCCCTAGTCTCTGTCCTTGAAGGTGATCATTCACCTGACCATGGCCTCCCTCCTCCCATCAGGACCAGGTTCCAGAAGGATCCAGTGCTCTCACCCTCCCCACCTTCCCCACGTTCCACCACAAACAGGCTTCCTGGGCCTGGGGGGCTCATGTGAGCTCAACACCCAGAGCAGCACCTGGCACAGGGCAAACCCAGCTCTGAATGGACCTGCCCGCCAAGGCCCTCGCTGCTCCAGCATTCACTTCACCGCCCTTGATGCCCCAGGTGCCTCCTGGTCAGCTCCTCTCCTGGCAAGGTGTTTGCCTCACCTGAGCCTCACTGCAGCTCAGGTGTGTCCCCCTCCTGCACCCTTCCCATCCCAGGGCCTGCTTCCTCACGGAATCCCAACCCTACCCTCCCTCAAGCCTCAGCCACAGTGGCCTGACCCCAAAGTCCCCCTGGGCTGACCCCACAAGCCTTCTTTCCTGTCTCAACTGACTCCCCCTTGAACCCTCACCCCCTTGGTTTCCATGACGACTCATGGGGGCAGGGGCTTCTACAATCCGGCCCTCCCCTGTCTGCCTGTCCTTTCTCCCCAGTCTCTTCAGGTGGACCCTCCTCCCCGCCAATCGCAGGCTCCTCCACCACTCACTCCTCACTGGCATCAATTGCTCTTTCCTCAGCAGCACCTACTGTCTCCTACACATGATCTGAATGTAAGTCACTTGTTTCATGCTTACTGTTTAGTTCTGTCTGCACACCAGAACCTAGGCTCTCTGTGGAGACGGAGCTTGACCTATTTGGTTCACCAATGTGCCCAAGTCCCTGAAATAGTGCCCGGCACACAGTAGGTGCTCAGCACATACCTGCTGAGTGCATAAATCAAAGTTTCATCTTCATTTCTAGGCTGTTCGCACACACCTTCCTTCAGATCAGACACCTCCCAAACTCCAGAGCAGTTTGTAAGAGGCAGGAATCGTTGAGGGTTCGGTTGATTATAAAACTGTCTGGATCTGGTGTTTTTTCTGTGGGTAGATTTTTTTATTGCTCCTAGTTATTAATATCTATCTGTATATTTAGGTTCTATTTCATCCTGAGTCTGGTTTGTTAAATTTTATTTTTCTAGGAAAAATCTCTAAAGAGTCAGTTTTTTGTCTTGTTAATCATTTGTGTTTTCTGTTTTATCCTGTTCTGTTATTTTCCCCGCTTTTTCTTTTGTTTTGCTACGACTCCCTTTCTAATTCCTTCGTCAGATACTTAACTCTGTTTTCAGTCCTTGTCTTTTCTGACCATAAGCATTTAAGGCTATAAGTTACCCAATGCCACTTTGGTTCTGTCCCTTACGTTGTGATAAGTAGTGTTTTTCATTTCATCTCGTTCTGACTTTCTAACAGCAGTTGTAGCATTTGGCTTGGGAAGTGCTGAAAAGTATGCTTGTTTAAATTTTCAAATGTGTACAAGGTTTTTTGGAAGGAGACTTGACCCTTGGATACTAATTTCTTGTTCTTTGCATTGTGGACAGAGAAGGCGGTCTGAATAGCACAGCTCCTGGGGGTCCGTGAAGACCTTTTTGTAGCAGTGGTCCACTGTTGCAGAGCTCTCCTGTTCTTTTTCTTTTTTCTTCTTTGTTTTTTTTTAAGCCTAGGACCTCTTTTATGTTAATTTCTTTGCTGGGACTACAAAGAATAATATAATGCAAACTCCCAAACCCATGGGGTGAGGCAGCGGTCACAACGTCACAGGGAGATTTTTCCACAGGGAGACCACCGCAAAGCTCTATGGAAACGCTTAGATTAAAAAGGGATATGCGATAAAAACCATGAAAACGGGTTCCTCACTCAGGCTTTGAGGAAGCCTTTTGCTTCCTGTCGCTCTAAGTGCATGATGTGTATTAACTCATTCGGTCATCACAGAGCACCGGGCAAGCCTCTGTCACTGCCCTCACCTAACAGTGAGGGGACAAAAGCAAACAAGAGAAAGTCACTTAACTTGTCCAGATTTACATGTGGTGAGTCAGTGAGAAATCGGAATCTCAACCATGGCAGTTGGCATGTGACCCAAGCAGAACCAATAAGAATCCTACCCTGGGATTTTATCTCACACGTGAGGGAAGAAACTCTTTTTCTGCTCTTGGGATACATAGCAGAGATGTGAACTGGTGGCCAAATCCCAGCCTTGAGAAGAAAGCACCCTGAAAGCCTACTGATACGGGATACCAGGACGGTTCTGAAGGGGATTGAGTCTCTAACCTGAGTCGCTGCAATCTGATAGCACTTCTGCTTTTCTTGTGTTTGGGTTTAAGAACCAATACATTTCATTTCTAGGTTGAAAGTCCACATAATGGAGAAGTTGAAGGGCTGACCTTGGAGCAGGTGCCTGAATGAGATTCCCAGCTCATCGACCAAACACCCAGGTGGCCTGGGAAAGCTACTTAGCCTCCCTGTGTCTCTGTACAAGCCCTGGTAAGTTGGGGACAATGGCAATAATTGTTTCATGCCCTCATTCACTCTGGCCACATGCCAGGCTTAACATATGCCCAGCAGATAGTGAACTTCAGAGGAGTACCAGTAGCCTAGGACTTGTATTTGAGTAAACACTCAAAATTTTATTATCATCATAAAGCTAGTTCATACTTGGTTTCTGTCACCTCAACCAAAGAAGTATATTCAAATGAATGGTAGATATGACCTTTTTAAGAAATTTGCAAGCAGTTTTCCAAAACGGTAGTGTCATTTTACATTCAAGTGTTTCCATTTTCTCCACACCCTTGTCAACACTTGGCATTGCCTGTCCTTTTAATTTTAGCCATTTTAATGGATGTGTAGTGGTATCTCCTTGTGTGTTTAAATTTGCATTTCCCAGATAGCTAATGGTATTGAGCCTCTTGTCATGTGCTTATTGGCCATTCACCTCTTCTTCTGTGAGTGTCTGTTCCAGTCTATTGCTTGTTTTTAAAAACTGGATAGCTTGACTTTTTGAAATTTAGGAGCTCTTTATATAGACCAGATACAAGTTTTTGGGTTTTTTTGTAGGCTATGTGTATTGAAAAAGTTCTCTAATTTTTGTGGCTTACCTTTTCACTTTCAAAATAGTCCCTTTCAGCCCGGCCTGCATGGCTCATCAGTTGAGCATTGACCTACGAACCAGGAGGTTGTGATTTCTTCCCGGCCAGGGCACATGCCCAGGTTGTGGGTTCAATCCCCAGTAGGGGGCATGCAGGAGGCAGCTAATCAATGACTCTCATCATTGATGTTTCTCTCTCTCTCTCTCCCTTTCCCTTCCTTTCTCTGAAATCAATAAAGATATATTTTCAAAAAACAAAATAGTCCCTTTTGAAGAACTAGCATTTTTCATTATTATAGAAATGATTTATCTTTTTTCTTTTACTGTTCATATTCCTTGTGCCATTTTTAAGAAAAACTTTGCCTATGCAAGATCACAAAAATTTTCTTCTGTGTTTTCATCTGGAAGTTATAGTTTTAACTTTCACATTTAGGTCTACGATTTAATTTAAAGTTAATTTTTATTTGTGGTACAGGAAAAGGTTGACGTCTGTATTTTTCCCTTTATGGATGTCCTATTGTTTCAGACCATTTTAAAAAATTATTTTAAAATATTTTTATTGTGGTAAAGAATATATATCATAAAATTTACCATCTTAACCATTTTAAGTGTATAGTTCTGTGGCATTAGGTATATTTGCATTGTTGCGTAACCATCACCATCCATCTCCAGAGCCTTTTCACCTTCCCAAACAGACTCTGTCTGTCTAACAGTAACTCTCCATTCCTCTCTGCTCAGCCCCTGGCATCCACTATTCTGTTTCTGTGTCCTAGCCCCTGGTATCTGCTATTCTACTTTCTGTCTCTGTGTATTTGACTACTTTAGGCACCTCCCAGCACCACTTTTGAAAAGACTTTCCTTTCCCACTGAATCAAGAGCCTTTGCACCTTTGTTGAAAATCGGTTGACCACTACATGTGGGTCTGTTCCTGAGCTCTCTGTTCTTTTCCTTTGATCTATATTTACATAATTTCTCCACTACCACACTGTCTTAATTTCTACAACTTTATACTATATCTTGAAATCGGATAAGTCCTACAACTTCGCTCTTTTTTAATTTTGTTGGCTAATTCTAGGTCATTTTCATTTCTGTATAAATTTTAGAATCAGGTTATCAGTTTCTACAAAAACAACCTGCTGGAAATTTTATTGGTGTTGCATTGAATCTATAAATATATTTAGAGAGAATGGGCATCTTAACAATATTGAATCTTCCAGTGTATGAAAGGGCTATACTCCTCCAGAAGTGACCTGCATTTGCTTGGGCAGTGCCTCAGTGCTGCCAGCTGACAACCTTCAACTGGCTGCACACCACCCAGTGTGTTTAAAACTCACACCCATTTAAAAGTAAATCTATACTTATGAATTTTGAGGGGATATTTGATTTCCATCTCGTGGTGACATTGTTACAAAAATCTTTCATTTTTCTTTCCTGGAAAGCAGGGTTTTTTCCCCCCCAGTCTTTCTAGCTTTTCACTGAAATTTTGGGTCTTTAAAAGTCTTGGTTTTGTGTGAGAATCTAAATTCCAACTTCTTATATTGCATGGGCACAAGCCCCTGTCTCTTGTCTCTTGTGCAGCCACTAAAACCCAAACCTTTAAGTTCCTGGTACTGGGAAATGTCCCCAATGTTATACCCGCTAACCCTGTTGCTTATAGATTCCACCTCATTTTGTGTCTCTGGGGATACACCTTGCTTTCTTTCAAGCTCAGCTGTACATTTCAAAAAATGCTTATTACGTTGTTGTCAGCATTTCCAAGTGCTCTGCAGTACAGGGGCTCTGGATTATTTTGTTGGGACTGTTTTTCTTGTTCAGCCACAACAATCAGCATATGTGAGTGTTCATTGAGTTTTTGCTGGGCCGATATTAAATGAATGCATAAATGAACAAAAGACTGTTCTGCATTTTGTCTTTTTTTAAAAAAATATGTTTTTATTGATTTCAGAAAGAGGAAGGGAGAGGGAGAGAGAGAGAGAGAAACATCAATGATGAGAGAGACTCACTGATCATCTGCCTGCTGCACGACCCCTCCTGGGGATCAAGCCCGAAACCCAGGCTTGCTCCGTGATCGGGAATCAAACCTTGACCTCTTGGTTCATAGGTCAGTGCTCAACCATTGAGCCATGCTGACTGGGCAACATTCTGCATTTTAAAATGTTTATTACACACACTCACACACACTCGCACACACACCAGAGTACAAGGCACGAGGAATAGAACAGTGATCAAATGGGTCCCCCTCTGATCAATCACGTCCTTTCAGTCACTGAAGACTTTGGCTCTTGATCACGGGTCACCTGCTCACCCCAATTCTGACCTCATTCATCTCTATCCTCATGACTCCTCACACCACGGCCTCACTGTTCCTTGACCTCTCACCTCCCTGACTGTAAAAGCTGGGGTCTGTGTGCAGATTACAGATGCATGTGTGGTTAGTTTGATCAGGAAGGGATTGAATACACAGAGTTAGTGTTACAGAGTCATTGCAAACACTCTATCCCCCAACATAGTCAGGTCTCCTGGGGAGTTATGCCTGTCACCATAGTCGGCAAACCAATGCCCCAGCTCCCATAGACCACCTTCTCAGCCAGGTCTGGACCTCCTACCCCCTTTGCATGCAGGCAGAGCCATGTCACAAAGTTCTGGAACCAATTTGGGTAGAAATGCTGTGGGCCACTCCTGGACCCAACCCACAAATACCTGTTGCTCAATCCTGCAGGTGTTCTCTTCACCTTTCCAGGATGACCGTAAATCTGCATGTCAAAAATGACAGCCCGGCCCAGGTCACTCATGGCCTGGGTCCCTGAATGACTAGATGGAGCAGAGTGCCCCCATCCCTGCCCATGTTGCAAACCTTCTGGGAGCATGAAATAAACATCAATTGTATTAAGTCACTAGCATTTGGGGGTTATCTGTCAAAGTAGCTGGTGTTTCCTCAACTGATATAGGAGAGAGCCCCAGGAGCCTCCACTGGGCTTCCCACCTGAGTCCTTGCTGGGATCAGCAGGTAATGCTGCATTGGCCTGCTGTGCAGTACATCTATCCAAACCATATGCCATGAGATCCGGGAAATTAATACAAGATAGAGTCACATACCCACTGTGTCCATTGTGAGATGGGCTATGGCCCACAATGCATGTCTCATCCTACCCCTCTGATCGCTGGACTATGAGTGGGTGGGGTGGGGTACATCAGAGAGTCTGGGAAGTGTCATCAGCTCAGAGCCAGAGCTCAACAGTCCCTGAGGTGTCCCCTCCCCCAGTGCCTGGCCATCCCAGCCACAGTCTCTACCTCCCTTCAGGGGGGCCAGGGAAAGACCACACAGCCTTGGGTATTTCCGCCAGGTCTTTCCCTCTGGCAGAGGGCTCCGGATCTGCGAATGACTCATGTCCAGGAATTGGAAGGGGAGATTTGACTCTGCATTGTGAGTCAAGTTCAAGTCCTGTTCCTGAGACATAAGGGTCTTTCCACCACCACCACCCACCTCCACTGACATGGCCCTGCTTTTGTCCTAAGGGTGACTCCATGGCCAATGAACCAAAGGTCTCTGAGGCCACACCATTCTTCTTGACCATCATGATGACCACACCTGCCTGGGCACATGGCCTCTGTCACCCCAGTATTTCTTCACCTCTTTCTTTTTTAAAATTATTTTTATTGATTGATTCGAGAGAGAGACTGACCAGTTGCTCCACCCATTTCTCTTTACCCCATTTCATGTCTGCCATACAGAGGCCAGCCTCCCCAGAGTCTTTCAAGGGTGCTGCTGCCCCCTCACTACACCAAAGTACACCTCTAATGTCTTGGTGAGGGGGTGTCCTCAGGCCCTCCCAGAGGACAGTTAAGGGATCACCAAGCAGGTCAAGCACAGTACATCCCTGTCTCTCTGTCTTTGGATGCCTTTTCTCCATTAAACCAAGGAGTTTCCAGCTTCTCAGCTTCATTCACATGGGCTCTCGTGAGCTCTGGTTTTAATTAGCAGAGTGCAAATTGTTGACACCATCCCAGCCCCTCAGATCCAGAACCTGTGGTCACTTTCGGGTCCACCCAATGCAGGATCACCTTCCTCCAATACCCACTCCTCCGGACTTTACCAAAGGGTGCAATTGTCCTGGTTAAGTCTTTTCTTCCTGTGTTTACTGTAAACTGCCCCTGCCCTGTCCTGGAGGCTGGGCTGTGGTCCACGTGCCTCCCTCAAGCCCTTGGGCCTGTTCCTGACAGCTGCCTGTCTGCCCACCACAGCTAGACCTGTACCAGGTCTGCAGGGGATGTCCTGGCTGCCAGACAGTGAGTCTCCAGGCTGCTGCCTGAAACCACTTCAGGGACCAAATATTGGATCTGCTGGAGAAGATACTCTGAGCTCCATCTAGTTCCTTGAAAATTGTCCCACGCCTGGTCTGGGCAGAACCTCCTATTGGAACGAAGTTGACGTCCCTGATAAAATGCCTGTGTGATAATCTGATGAACTTTAATGATGGCATGATTTGTTTTGGGAAACAGTTACCAGCCTACCTGAGTGTCATTCAACAGAGGTTTTCTGTGTCAAGTCTGAGAATGATTCTCCTCCTGCCGAGTGAATTTTTGACATGGCCGCTCAGGGTCCTTCCACTGCACGCACCATTGTCATGAAACCTGACCCCCACTTGTAACTCAACTGTGTGACAACCTGTCTTCTCTCTACCTTGCCCTCAGCCAGATAACCCCTCTCTTCCCCAGGCCTCAGCCAAGGTGCTCCCTGCAGGAGATCCTCCCTGTCTGATGTTCTCATGGCCCCTGCCCAGCACCATGAAGCACCCACATGCCAGTGGTGGCTCAGCCTTGCCCACATTAATTGATGCTTCCCACCAACCAGCTGAGTGTGTAAGATTATTACCCTCCATTCATAGGAGCCCAAGAACAGCTGCTCACACCTGGGCAGGGGTGGGAGAAGGAACCAGGGGCCAAGGAAGTTTCCACTGAGAAAGTGACTTTCCAGTGGGCTGGAAGGAAGGGAGGGGGGTAGCCATGCCAGGGGTCAAGAATTCCAGATAGGGCACAGCAAGGTCAGCAGCCTAAGGCTGAGGCATACAACTGATGGGGGGGCTGAGGGACAGTGCCACACAGAGCCACCTCCCAGCAGCCACAGCACTCCTGGGCAGGGAGAGCCTCTCCCATGCCCCCCTCTCCATTCTGATAGGGGGGTAAGTATAGAATAACAGTATGACATTTGTTTTTCCCTCTCTTCCTTTCTCTTTTCTTTCCTGCCCTTTTACTAACAGAATGTGTAACTAATTAATCAACTATATATATATTTAACCTTACGTTCTGGCTAAGATTTTGTTGCAGTTCTCAGCTGACCAGGCAAGAACAAAGAGACTTTTAACGGAGCCCTGAACTTACATGCCTGGCCACCAGGAATTCAGAGGTTGATTGATTAGGTTTCAGAAACACCAGGATGACACACACCCAATGACCGATTAACGGATTTCAGAAGGCTGACCGACCTATTTTAGACACCAGTAATAAAAACATTCATGAAGACCTCCACGGGGACTGCAAATCATCAGAACCCCCCTTGTACTCCCTACCCACATTCTCTTTCCCTGATTCTTCATTCTGCTTTCCCCTCCCTCTTTATAAAAGCCCAGCCTGCACTGAAGGGGAAGATGGGTTTTTGAGGACAAGAAAAGTCTCCCATCTCCCCAGCTGTGGGCAGTTGGAATAAGCTTCTTTCGTTCGCCTCAGCACCTGTCTTGTGAGTCTGGCTTTCACCAGGACAGGCAGTCCAGGCCTGGGCACAGGTTATTTTCCCAGTTTCAATTCCAAAGAGCACCGCAAGGCATATTCTATTCAGGGCCATCACGTTAAGTACATGGGCCACTGCAATGAAATTCTCTAGTAGGGCACACATGGGCTCAATCTGATTATAGCAGGGGAAAGTGGGAACTAACAGTGATGGGGTTCAGGACGTTACCCCAGTGTACGGCACCTGGACATGTTGAGTATTTTTAGCTGAAGGAGTTTGAGAAGCAGGTCACTGAACCCCCCTTTCTCCCCAAAATAGGTCATCAAACCCTCCTGAGAGAAGTGCCCCCACACCAGGAGAAAAGGAGCCTCCTTCCGCCAAAGACAGGGCCTTGCAAAGGCTCCCCGAGTTCACTGTGCCAGCCTCGCTCCTTGGCCGGTCATCCTCCATGACTGTGCACTCCCCCATCAAGCCAGCCTGAAATACTAAGGTTTAACTGCTTCCTTGGGTCTTCGATTCCTCATGAAGTCTCCCATGTCACATCAAACTTATAAAATTAAATAAATGTATATGGTTTTCTCCTGATGAAGATTCTGTCAGTTTCATTTTCAGGCCCAGCCAGGGACCCTGTAAGGGTCAAGTAAAACTTTTCCTCCCCTGCAATAGCCAAGGAGCAGGTGGGGGTCAGTGAGTGGAAAGTTACTATGAGAAAACAGCATGGGTGAGGGGGAATTCTGGCTAAACCCACCCACCAGGATTCTTGCTGAAGGCAGGGAGGTGATCAGACACACCTGGGCATGGCGGAGGATCAGATATGGAGGGCGGATGTTCTTGCTAAGTTGACTCAGCAGGGTTCTTGTTAAAAATGGATTTTATAAGAAAGGGAGCAGACAGACCTAGTTGAAGGTTCAGGAGCCTGACTGAAGTTTGGTCAGGCAATGAGTCTGTCACCTGCCGCCTCCCCTTGGTTGAGGCATGTGCTTACCTGTGAAACCAGACTGCAATTAGTCCAGGCTGCCTGTCACCACTTGAGCCAATTAAGAAGAGACAGGGTTCAATCGTAGATGAGCATTTATTCCAATATTGCCAGCAAATTGGGAAAGCAGTAATGGTCATCCATGAAAATCTGCTCTGCTGCCCACCCCACCCATAAGCCAGTTGCTTATATTGGGTAGCAGGACAAAGACTACATGGGAAAGTAGGAATTACAGGCATGGGGAAGTAGACAAGGTGGTCTGGGGTTCACAAAGAGCTCGCAAAGGGCAGGCACCTCAGGGACTCCAGGTGGGCACCTCAGGGACCAGATTACAGGCAATGTGGGCTGGGGTTGTAAAGGGCAGGTGCTTCCCAGATTCCATTGTTTTGGGAACAAGGCTGTTAATCTTTCCATGATGATGGGCAGTTCTCAGAAAAGGAGACTGGACTGCATTCCAAGGGTAATTCCCAAGTCCCGGGGCATACAACTCCCAGCCAGGTTAGAAAGTGCTTTTTCTAATTCGAACAGAACAATCACAGTTAACAGAACATGACTAGTATTTCTTCTAACTATACTTAACAATCACTGTTAACAGAGCATGATCAACATCTCTGCCCCTAACACCTGCAGAGGCCTCTGGAATTAGCACCAACCACACAGCCACTGGGTGGCTACAGGGGAGGAAATGAAGCTGGGTGGCCAAGTAGGGAAGCAGGAATGGTTGTTGCTGAGGGCAAGGAGGTAGAACAGAGTGAGGGGCAGGCAGAGACCCGGGCAGCTGGCCTTTGGTGTCCCAGGTCCCCGCGTCAGCCGGGCCCAGGAAACACAGCAGGAACCCTTTAGGTGCCCATGTTCCCAAGGAAGCAGCTCACCTACACCACGAAGGCCCAGGAGATGGAGGCCTCTCTCATCTCTGGTCCTAGGGACAGAAAGACAAGACCCCCACCACTCCTTGCAAGGTCCCTCTGCTAACTGTGGGCATTAGTTCCAAATTAGCAATCGCCCAGGGGTCCCGAGTCACTTCCTGCACCCTGGTGGGCAGCCTCCCACTGGGGCTCTGCCCCAAGCTGACCCTCTTGCCAGCTCCTGCAGCAAAGCCAAAAAAAGCTCACATCTCCAAAAGACTCAGCTGCCTTCACAAGCTTGGCTTTGAACAAACATAGCTGGTGGCACACGCACCTCATCCCCCACCCAGAGGTCAGAGCTGGGCTGGCTTCGCTGTCCCGTGTGCGCACACCTGAGCAGCCTCTAGAAACTGCAGGGGACAGTGCCAGTCATTTGCATAACATTACAACCTCGGCTTGGCTTTTTCTGAGAATTAGGGCAGGTCCTTGCTGCCTGGGGTAGTTCCCAGCTCGAAGCAGAAAGGGCAGAAAGGGCCTTTGGTTGGTTCCTTTTAAACTCCAATTCACAGCGCCCACCAGCTGTGATTGCTCCAATTACAGGTTCAAAGATTTCTGGGCAGCAGAGAAACTTTCTGTGGAGGCCACCCACCCCATTCAGCTCCCACCCACAAGCCCAGAAACCACTCTGGAAGGGGACACCAAGGGGATGGCTCCTGGAGACTGGCCCCTTCCTTCCCCAAGAGGTCAGCATCCCATCTCTGGGAGTCCCCCGCCCTTCAAATTTTTCTCCCCACACTGCCCCTTGTTTGAGCCCATGTCACATCAGGAAAATGCCAGCTCCCCAGACAGGGCTGGGCTTCCATGGAAGCTATGTCCTGGGCCCCACCCAGGTCCCAGAGGCCTTTCCAGGACGCTGTCCACTCTCCCACCGGCTCCAGGGTCAGTGACTACAGTAGCCCAGGTTCTACTCCTGAGGTCAGAGGTCCCAGAGGGGTGGCCTGAGTTTGCAGAGGAACCTGCGGCAAGAGAGCTGCCCTTGGGAGGGTTGCCCTAGGGGAGCTGCTGGGGGGGTGCACTGGGGCTACCCACCTAACACCCCCCTGGGGCCCCTCTCTTACTTGAGACAGCTACACAAACTGGGGACCAAAGGATGAAGTCGTCTGTCCAAGGCAGTCTGTCCAGTGACAGAGCCAGGACCAGGCATCTTCTCTTCTGATGGGTCCTTCCCACTGGTGTCCCTGCAGACCCACCCCGGATGCCCGACACACCGCGCCCCAAGGGGGAGGTTCGCAGAGTTCGCTGTCGGGTGTTTCAAAACCAGCACCAGCGGCGCCGAAGGAGAAGCCCGCAGAGGTCTGCGGGTCCCGGGGCCGCCCCGCGGGT